CTACCCATCTAGGTTTTGAGAATGTTTAGCGAAGTATTGTCTGCTTATGTAGACTGTACCCTTTAGGCTTTGATTGTAATTTTCTATGTTATAGCCTCCACGTCCTCCAACCTCCTTCGAACTCTCTTAAACTTCAAATATGAACACCTCCACTACCTTCTCCAACCTTCAGTAAAAACCTCCTCGATTGCCACTTAAATGATGAAATGATGAAAGAAATCAGCCTAGACACCAATCTCGTACCTAAAGTTTTTATAACATTGATATTTACTATCAATTATTATAATTAAAAAATAAAACTAGGTTCTAGGAGTCGAGTCCAATGCCTAGGCCTCTTAGTATTTTCTATAACCTTGTTAGTTATTATTTTAGCTATCTAGTAAATAAATATGCATGATTTATTGTGGATCTAAGATTGATATCTTTTTTTACATATTTATATGAATTTAATACATATTTTTATTATTATTATAATTAAATAATTTTAAAATAGCAAACGCCTAGGCGTCGCCTAGGCATATGCTTACGAATCTAGGCGCTAGGCGCTTGCTCAAACGCCTAGTCCGCCTAACACCTTCTATACATTATTACGCATAATTCAAAAGTCGCGATTTTTATAGGCTATAACCTATTTTTTTCTATTTTTGTTATTTTCACCAAAACTATGCATATTTCAAAATTTCATGATTTTCACATACTATAACTCATGTTTTTCATTCAATTTTTTTTTGTTTCTATCCAGTACATGTATTTCAAAATCTAGGATTACATGAGCTACCACCCACAATTTTTATTCATTTTCGTATGTCTCGACCATTATCTTAAAAAACTATTATGTAACTTGTTATGTTGCATTATGTAACCTAACAAGCGTTAAATGTTACCGAATAGTATGAAATAACTCAAACATAACTCTACGTTATTACAATATAAGTTCATTAGACTTGAGAATATATCCTTTGTTAGAACTTGAAATAGTTACCTAATTACTTCTGAATTGTATTTAAAACCTCCGTCTTAGTTGTGATTGTAAAATTAGGAATATGATTGACCAAACGAATGTAATTATGAACGAGCAATAAATTTTTGATTATATATTTGAGTATTTGATTCTGATACTTCCTAGTAAATCTATATAGCTTGTATTAAATTAAAGAAATTTAATTAAAATATTTGGGTTGTGAAATTTTGTTCCTAATTCTTAAAATTACTGAACATCATTTATATTTTTCTAATTAAACAATGAAAATATTTTGTTCCTATTTGAGATGACACGTTTAAAACTTTTTTATGATTTTAATTAGCAAAGACATTATGAATAGGTTGCATTTATAAAATATGTAAATAATTACTAAACAAGATAAACTACATCACGCCTTACATTTTTTGTGTATTTTCTTTAACGCTTAGTAGCGTACTACGTGTTGCATTATCATTATTTTCAACAACGGTCTCCACCTAATAACAAGTAATATGCTTAGTTTAAACTTTACTATTTTAAGGACTAACCTATGGTTTTTTTTCCCATTTTTGAATGATCCAATTCACTGGCAATTAAATATGCGGACTTAAAAATTAGCAATTTTTATAGGCTAGCCTTTAATTTTTGTCCATTTTTCGTACGTTTCAACCCATCGCAACCACAAATGCAGACTTCTAAATTACACGATCATTATGAGCTATAACCCTTGATTATTATCCATTATTTTGTTTCGATGCAATATCAATTAAATATAGAAAGTTCAAGTTCGCGATTTTCTTAGGCTATAACTCTCGACTTTTTTTATTTTCGTGTTTTAACCATATTAGCAAATAAGCATGCAAACTTTAAATTCATGATTTTTGGAGGTTATAAGCCACGATATTTGCAAATTTTGTATCGAATTGATCAGCAGATAATTAATTACTCATACTTCAAAATTCATGATGTTTAGGTACTATATAAACCATACTTTTTTTCCTTCTTCTAACCAGTTGGCAAGTATGTAAAGTTCAAATTTACAAGATTTCCACGGACCATAACCCATGATTTCTCATCATTTTTGTTCATGTCACAAGAACAATGATTAAATGTGTATCTAGAAATTCATGATTTCATGAGCAAAAAAACCAAAGATTTTCTGTTCATTTTCGTTAATTCGACTCAATGGTAATCAAGTACGCATACTTCAAAATTCGTGATTTTATTGAGCCAACCCATTATTTTTGTATTTTTATTTTAATTAATTGGCAGTTAATTATGCGTACTGGAAATTAGCGTTTTTAATAGGTTATAACCTATGATTTTTGTCCATTTTAGTTTATTTCTACCCAATGATAATTACAGATGGATACTCCTAAATTTCTTGATCTTCATGGGCTGCAACCCGTGATAGTCCATTTTTTATTGTTTCGGTAAAAAAAGTAGTCATGCATACTTGAAAATTAGCGATTGTCATGCAAAATAACCCACAACTTCAGTTCATTTTTGTTCATTTTGGCCCAAAGTGAATGAAGTATGTGTACTTCAAATTCACAATTTTTAGGAGTTTAAACTCACAGTTTTTGTTCATTTTCGTTCATTTCGGCTCAAAGTCAATGAAGTATGAATACTTCAAATTCATGAATTTTATGAGTTATAGCACACATTGTTTGTTACCTCTCGGTCATTTCAGCTCAAAGCCAATGAAGCGTGCATACTTCAAATTCATGATTTTTATAGGCTATAACTCACTGTTTTCATTCGTTTTCGCTCATTTTGACCCAATGATAGCTAATTATGCATGTTCCCAAATTCCTGATTTTTGAGTATACTAGAGTTAGCATTAATTTTCAGTTTATGATTTTTTCAACTATTTTCTATCATTTTAGCCCACTTTAAATCAATCATCTTGGCCCGTTGGCTTTATTATTAATCTTCCTTTTATAATCTTATTTTCAAGTGTTTTCACTTTCATAACACTATACTTCCTCAGGTCAAGCTCGGTTTCATGCCGATCCAAATGAAATAAAAATTTAAATTGGCTATAGATTATATTTATCTCTTGACAATTCAACTATCAACATAAAAATTTAAACTGGGTGTAGCTTATTCAAACAAACATCAAATAAATAAATAATCAAAGTGTAATCGATTAACAAATTTTAGTAAGAAAATAAACCAAAAATACTTGATCAAAACGAGCAAAAATTATCAAAGAGTAACCGAGGAATAAATTTTAGTAAGAGAATAAACCAAAAATACCTAATCACAGTATTTAACCACGTGCATAAAATCTAGTGTGTGTGTGTATCATTATA